TTGGTAATCAGGGTTTTGGGAAGAGAGAAATGTCCTTGTAAAATCTGCACAACTACAAATTTTGACACGTATTACATCAAATCCACTATTTCTGTTTAAAGTCAGTTCCTTTAGACATAGTGGGGGTGAAGAAAACTTGGAGGTTTGCATGCAATGCATTGTAATGGCTCAAAACTGCTGCACTCTGGGTTTTGTGTTTTTTTCCTACGTGGCCCATCGAAGGGAAAGCATATGCTACTGTGATTGAAAATTGCATGCTACGTAGATCTGAGTTATGAAACAACAGTATTCCCAGCAGCATCCAAATCTACATATATGGTTTGAAAAGTGGGGTTTTCAAGGTAGGGTTTCAATTGGCTGTTTGTAAAGGCCATGCTAGCTTGATTTTCTGGGAACTGTAGACCCAGTGGTATGCTGGAGCCAGCTCATACAGGCTTGCAAGAGCTGATTGTTAAATTTGCTGGAATTCTGCGAGCCACTTGAGAGCAGAGCTGAGTCACAATGGAGCATACTGATTAGCTGTTCAGTGGCTAGTAGCGAAAACACTGTGGCGGCAATGGATCTGGAGAGCCAGTTGCTAAACATTTACCAGCATACCACTTATCTAGACCCAATATATATTTGGAAACTACCAACTTGGGGAAGATTGATCTATGTGGTTTCCTCCCCCCCCCCCCCCAATCCCTTGTGTGGTTTAGCCTTCTTAGTCTGGGTTGGACTTCTCGAGTCAGAGAACAACTTTTCAATCTTATGCTAAGCACTGCCAGCAGGGGTGAAATCCAGCAGGTTCGACAGGTTCTGGAAAAATTTTGAGTAGCTTGGAGAGCCGGCAAATGCTACTTCTGGCTGGCCCCAGAGTGGGGTGGGAATGGAGATTTTGGAATATCCTTCCCCTGACACAGCCACCAAACCAAGCCATGACCACAGAACCAGTAGTAAATTTCACCACTGAGTGCCAGTCTAATTGCCCATTAATATTTGTCCCCATCCTTTTCCCCCCCTTTTCTTTCTATTCCCAAAGTCCAGATGCAGGCAACTTTTTTAGCTGGGTGCTGCCATTGGGGCATATGAAGCTGAAGCAAATGAAATTTGAGGATGTTTTTAATTTTCTTTTTAGGGTTTGGGAAGGCTTATGAAAATAGGTGTGACAAATGATTTACCGCATTTGCTTTTCACAGAGAATTGTAAAAGCGGTAGACATTGCCCTGTTGAAAATTACCATTTTATTGCTGATGTTGCTGAATTCTGGGATCTGCAAAAATATTTCATAAGTGGCCCAAGGGCTGTAGGGTGCCCACTCCTATATGGTCCCTAAATGGTATGGATAGAACTCAGCAGCCTATCTAGCAAGGATAATGAAAACACAAGGATTTCATATTAAAAGAAAATGTATTATATCCTAATGTGTCACATAAGAGCTTCCTGGTTTAAGGACATTAAGCAGAGCCCTACAGGATTCTGTCTACATTTTCTCTGAAGAATCTGGAGCTTAAGGCGGGAAGAGATCTGACTCTCAGCGCTTGCTATTCTGGTGAGTGGATGTGTGAGGCAGCTGCTCTTACTTGCTTTCTTGAATCTTGCAGTAGGTAAAGAGTGGTCTTGCCTTGAGAAATGACAGATTCGACATATATTTTAGCATCAGATCCAGCATTTAGAAGCCATTGTGCTTTAGGGGAAAGTTTCCCAAATTATTTGGACAACGAGCCATACCAGGCCTTAAGCCTACATTGTCTTACTTTTGGCTTTCAATTTATCTAAATCAGGAATGGGCAATTAATTTTCTCCAGGCATCCCATGAGAAACTGGGACTGTTGTGGAGGGCCGAACCAACAGGGCTGTGAAGGTGCGTTGGCACGCACATGCACGGTGTATATGTATGTATATAGCATGTGTTTATGTGTGTTTGTGTATGTGTCTGGGTAGATATACACTTTCTCTTGAGAGCAGGCAAGAGAATTTCATTTTTAATGTGGGCCAGTGTGCTCACAGTAAAAAAAATGACAATAATAGTTATCTTACATACAGAAATTGAGAGAAAAAAGTAGTCACGTTTAAAATAAAAATAATCCAAGTGGGCCAAACAGGGGCAGCCAAAGGGCTGATCTTTGGCCCACTTCTAGTCCTGATTGTAAAGTTCAAGGTTTCCTATGTCCAGTCATGTCTAGGGAGTGATGCTGATCTCTATTTCTTAGCCGTGGGAGCTAGCGTTGTCCAAAGACATTTTCCATAATCATGTGGCCAGCATGACTATACACCAAAGGCGCATGGAACACTGTTACCTTCCCACCAAAGTGGTGCCCATTTATCTACTTGCATTTGCATGCTTTCGAACTGCCAGGTCAGCAGGAGTTGGGGCAAATAGTGGGAGCTCACCCTGTCGTGTAGTGGTCGGGTCTCGAACCCGGGCTGTCAGCTTTCCAGCAGACAAGCGCAGCATTTTTAACCACTGAGCCACCATGCTTCCTTCGCTCTACATTACTTGCCATTGAAATCACAACATCCCCAACATATTCTGGGACCCAGGGACAACCAGTCACGCTAATTTCAGCAGAAGACGTTGTGGAATTGTTGTAGCTACAGACTTTGGTTTGTGTTTGCTGCTTCTTGTATTTCTGGAAATATTGGTTACCTTTCTTATATTGTGACTGTCAGACATTCATATTGTCCAAATACAAGTCAGTTTCTATTAACTTGCAAGCATCACAAAAAGTCTCTGGAGTCATTCTAATTGTGCCTTGTGCTGGTGCTTTGCTAATCTGCCAGGTTCCAAAGGACTACAGGTTCTAGTTTAATTGTGGTCCCTGACAATGTTCAAACAGTTTTAGAAACCCAAAGGTTTTTAATCACATGTACCCTAGGTAATGTTTTCTTCTACCCATCCTCTTTCCCCGATAGGTTCCTTTGAACAACAACAAAACAAACAAACAAAAACAGGGCTATAGTTTCCTCATTCATTTGCTCCTTGTTGCCTGTTGGTCTCTAGCTAATCTGAGCCTCCAATGACTAAACCAGCCTTCCCTAATCTGGGTTCTCTCCAGAAGTATGGATTTCAAAAATTTTCCAGCCAGGGAAGCCGTTGTTGAAAATTCTGGGGGTTGAAATCCAGGCGCATAGCAAGAGCCCCCAAGTTAGAGAACGCTGGGCTCCACTTTCCCCAAAATGAAGTGTGTTCTTTTAGACTAAGTTGTGAACAAGAGAGAGAGGGAGGAGGGAGGGGGAGAGAGAGAGAGGAATGAGGAGGATGCAGCTTGAATGGAGCACATCTTTCCCCAGGGCTCTGTCTGTGGAAGATGGAGCCAGCTTGACTTGGAAGTAGGACTTTGGCTGCAATTCTTCAGCTGCTTTGCTCTCTTGCATTTGGTCTCCCTGACAATGCTGAGGCAGCTGCATGAAGCCAAGCCCTCCTGTCTTCTCTCTCCACTTCCCCATGTTCTGTTCCTGGCACCCGTGTACCTGTTGAAGATCATCTGCCCCAGTTGGAAGGTGTGTGGGTGGAGGGAAAGTTAATGTTCACAAGGAGCCGAAAATGAAAATGGGACAGGGTGGGGAAGGGTGTTCACATAAAGTGTGAGAATGACTATTTCAGACTTCGACTCTGCAGGAAATGCTTGGCGTGACTTCAGCTGCCAGAAGTGAGGGAACACTCTGAACTGCCCTGAGTGCGTCTGTGCGTGCGTGTGCGTGCGTGCATGTGTGTGTAGAGCTAACTCCTCAGGCTCTTTTGCAATGTAGACCCCTGATAATGGGAGATTTAGTCTTCCTGTTCTCATTTACTCACTTAAAAAAAAAAGACTTTCAAGGTGAACATCTATGGATTTGGTTGGATGGGGGAGAGGTTAGATGTATTCTTAACTCTTTAGTCAGTTAAGCAGCTGGAGGTGAGAAGGCTCTGCCCCATCCACCTGCAGAATTTCAAAACCCAGGAGTAGGACTGTCACTCTTCCTCCTTGCTGCAGGCTGCTTTCCTGCAGAGAGCAGTGTCAGGCTTTTAAACTGGAGGCATAATTGGGAAAGCCTGAAGCCTCTTCTGTGATACCCTGCCTCCTGTTAATTCTGGTTTTAGCAGAGTGCCTGCCTGTATCTGCAAGCAGGGAGAGATGCTGGCAATTCCTACAGCAAGAGGCCTGAATAAACAGGCCCCAGACAGCCTTCAGCTGCCTCCTTTCTTCACTCTGCCTTTCTGTCTTGGTTTTCTCCCTTCTGGGGATTTCTCTTTGCTCTCTACCTCTTTTGCTTCGGTTGTAAACCAACTCCTCCTTAGTATGTTTCTTCCAGGTTTGCTAATTCCAGCAGGTAACTTTCCTTGGCCATGCCTAGCATCTTCACACATTGCTTATCATGCATAGCATGTAAATGAGCAAGAGCAATGCTGCCATCTAGTGTCCACTCATCCCAAACAGCAGCATTTTATTCTAACAATCCAGCGCAATTATTTCTGTGTGCATATGTGTGTGTGTGTGTGTGTGTGTAAAAAGGAGAGCTGTGATTACTTTTCCTAACTTCTCTCTTCTACTATAAAATGCAATGGGGTGTGTATTTAAGAGAGAGAGAGAGAGAGAGAGAATTTGATTAGCGTCACTTCTTACACCTAAAGAGTCTCTTGCGTTTGCCCTCAGACTCATTTTTCTCCTTTTCCTTATGGAAGAAAATGGCAGCACAATAGTGTATAGATGGGGAAGATGGCACAGGGTAAAAGGGAAGGTTGCCTCTTCCCAAGCATAACTGATAACATCAAACTAACAATCCGTTTTCTACGGTAGTTGCACTTTATTAAAAACTGAACACGACCGAAGATATTATAGCCACAAGAGAGAAGGGGGAGCTTGTTTGTATGGCAGATGGGAAATATGTGTCCTTAATCGTTTCTAACCATGCTTTGCAGATCAAGACCCTGCAGTTCAAGAAGTGGCTGATAACCGTGACAGACCCAAATTGGTGAATGAGAAAGAAGAGGTGGAACAACCACAGATCAAAGTCCCCATGGATGTGCCTAAGAGAGAGGACAAGGAGAAACCAAAGGAGGAGGTACAACTGGACCGGCCTGATCAAGGTAGCGTAGAATTAGAACTGGAAAGAGGCTGGAAATATTGAATTCAGAGAAGCAACAGATCCACAACTTGTTCCAATTTTCGGTTCCCATTTATTTGGTCATAGAGCACTGTAGACGTCACTTTATAAATATGTGTGAATTGTACTTCACCAAACGTGTTGCTTTCTGTGCTGTTCTTGATTGAGAGCCTGTGTTTCTTTTCATGCAGGCTTTGCACAACCTGTGGGAGAAGCCCATCGCCATGAGCCACCAGTACCACGTGATGGGGTAGCAGTGGATGAGGGTCAGGACCGGGAGGAATCTGAACAGAATCGGCCACCAGCAGACAAGGATGTCCTAGTAGAGAACAATGCTGTAGTGGAGAAGGAAGACCTTAAAATTGTTCCTAAACAAGCCGATGAACAGAATGGCCAGAAAAAGCTGGAAGACCAGCCCATAAAAGACCCCAAGGCAGCGCCAGAGGGGGTGGCACACAAGGAGGATCAGTCTCCTCACAGAGAGGGTGAGCTAGAGAAGCAGAATGAGAAGAGAGACAAGGCCCTGGGTGGGAAGAACGGTGCCAATTTGCAAGCAGCCGAACGTGGCAAAGAAAGAGTAAAATCCATGGAGAAGGAAAATGAACCACGTATGTACTTTTCTCTGCTTCTTTTGGTTCCAGGGAAGTTTAACGTATTTGGTCTTCTGAGATTTAGCATTTATACACTTGACATAAGTTATTACAGAAATTGATTGGTGCTATGGAACGCTTGGAAGAACTGCAAAGCCACACCCAGCCTGAACTGCTAAAGTCTGAGCTGGGCTTTTCAGGCATTTTTTTTCAAAATTCCTACTCTATATCGACCAGCCCTGTTCACAGCTGTTTCCTTGCCACAAGGCTTCTTTCTTTTTATTTACAACGTCTGCCTTGTGCCAGTGTTTCCCCCCTCATCCTAGCTTTTACTAAAAGAAAGAAGTCTACTTCTGCAATTTAAAAAAAAGAGTGGATTTTATATCTCAAGAAAAATAACTATGAATTGCTTTGCTTGCACTTAAAAAAATACTTATGTGTAGGAGGAAATATAAAATCTTATACCAATGAATTCCCAACTTCCTGCTTGCCCTGGCCTAAAAACCACATTTTTTCTTTGGTGGGGGTACCATGGAAGAGCCGTTTCAGCCATTGTTTTGGGAAAGAGGATGTGCTGAATTATTGGCAGTGGGAGATCCTGTGGCTTGGCTCTTGTGCAATTCTTCACTTCTTTGCTAAGCATCAGGTGCTGATGACCATTCTGGTCATTGGGGATTTAGGGCCAAATCTTGACAGGTGCCTCATTGCATAAGTGTCCCATTGCATTGCTCTCCAGGGCCAGGGCTTGCATTTTAATAGGCTTAGGCTGTTAGCAGTGGTCTCTTGCCAGCAGGCTATAACACTGTTAAATATTTTTTTTAATGACTTTTCCTTCGGCAATCTAGTTGGATAGAAACTGCAAAGAGAATGGAGGGGGGTGGGCAGGGACAGGGGCAGAGAACATCTGTCATTTTCTTTGCTCCATCCAGGAAATATCTGTGTGTTTCTTCTTTTCAGATGATAAAAAAGAGGTCGTTTCTTCAGAGAAGTTTGGCCCAGCCCAGACTGAGGCGAGAGAGGTTCGTAATGCAGAAGAGAAGTCCGAGAGCAAGCTCGAGGGTAAGCATTGTCCTTCCTCCACAGAGCAGATGTGTACACATATGCACACACACACACACACACACACACACACACACACACACACACACACACCCCACAACTGAGATTACCATCTGCTTCCCTGAAAGCCTTTGGTGTGCAGGTGTTATGCTGTATACGCCTAGGCCAAATTCTTTAATCGTACTATGAAGAGGAAACTAGATAAAAGCTAGACTGCAAGGCCAGGCAATCTTGTCTTGAGATAATCTCAGAAGGTGTAATGTGAGGCTACAAGCACCAGAGCACCAGTGCAATCCTGTCACGTTGGTGAAGGGCAAATAAGCATCTCTTGTAGAGTCACTTGCTTGTAACGGAGCCACAATCCATTTAAAACTACAGGTTCCCTCCCCCTAGCGCTAGTCGTTCCCGACTCGAGGGGTCGGTGCTCATCTCCTTTTCAAAGCCAAAGAGCCAGCACTGTCCAAAGACGTCTCCGTGGTCATGTGGCCGGCATGACTAAACACCGAAGGAGCATGGAACACTGTTACCTTCCCACCAAAGGTGGTCCCTATTTTTCTACTTGCATTTTTACCTCCTTTCGAACTACTAGGTTGGCAGAAGCTGGGACAAGTAATGGAAGCTCACTCCATTACGAGGCGCTAGGGATTCAAACCACCGAACTGCCGACCTTTCTGATCGACAAGCTCCATGTCTTCACTACTGAGCCACGGCATCCCTAAAAGTACAGCAGAGCCTCCTCAACCAGAGTCCCCACTTCCTCAAAATAGTTGGGATTGTATTGGGGGTGCATCTGAATTGGCAATATTTTAAAACGGAGCAGTCTCACTTTTCTCTTCTTTTTTTTTTTTCTCTCTCTTCTCCCCCTCTTCAAAAGTCGCCAGCATTAGGAGAGCTGTTGGGCTTCAGAAGCTCTTCCCTTGTCAGTCAAAATGCAGTCTGACAACCTAAAACATAACCTCAAAGCAGGCTCCTGGTAGACGCCCTCAAATTCTTGTTTTATATATATTGTATGACTGTGAAGGCCATAGCAGTAGTTTTCCTAAAAATAGTTTTGCTCTTGCCAGTTCTCTTGTGTTTTGAACACTCCTATATACATTTTGTTCGGCAATCCTCCAGGCGTATGAAAATGATTTTCTCCCCTTGCCAGTCACAATCTCCTGATTTCCCTAGACTGTTTGCCAATGGGGTTAATGCTAAGACAAACTGATTATTACCTTATATCCCTTTTCTCTCATCTGCACCCCTCCCGGCAATTAACTTTACATTAATTTCTTCCCCATTGTCTCGATAAATTTAATGTGTTTATAAGTTGCTAGTAAAAGATCGCCAGGTTGCTGATATATAACTGGTTGTTCCAAAATCCATTTGCTTGTTCCGGAAGAGAATAGTTCTTTCTGAACTGTCTTGTGGAGCCCAAAACTGTTCTGAGCCTAGTAATGCCTATGATGTTCAGTGGAGCAGCCCTTGTATTCTAAAGTAAGCATTTCTTGTTTAGTTTTAGTGCAGGTAACAACCAGGGCTCTTCCAGTGGGTTATAAGAACTCTTAGATGCATTATATCTTCTGCGTGGAGTAAGAATGAAGTGGCTGTGAACTCTGAGGAGAAAAGAAAGATTAAAAAAGAACCAGGTGCCCCTGTAGTAAAGAGAAAAAGCTGCATTTAAAAGATGTGAAAACTTGATGAGAGCAAAAGGGCAAATTTCCCCCAAATTGATTTCCAGATACGCTGGAGTTATAGTTCCTAGAATTCCTAGCCTTTTGTGTTTTTCCGTTGCCTTCAAGATCCCACCTATTTCCTGTTTAAAATGCAGTCTTTTCGGCAAGAAGTTTCCCACCCGTTTCCACTCTGATTCAGGTGACTCAGGACACAGACGAACCCCCAAATGGCCCCAAGGAGTTTCAGAGTGCTAACAACCAACTCTCAGAGTGCTAAGAATACAAATCCTTCCATTCCCCACCAGTTAAAACCAAAGAAGCTTCTTGGATGAGAAGCAAAAAGTTTTCCAAGGGGAAAAAACAAACAAAAATGTCCATTCGTCTCTTTTTGGTGTATGTGGAGGGGGAGGGGGGGAGGAAGCACCTTTGGGATAACCATGACCTGGCAATTGAGTATCTCCATAAACATTTTGCCTTCAATATAGTTTTGATTTGTGCCACACCTGGAAACCTCCATGTAGTTTTCTTGGCAACTTTTTGGGAAGCGGCTTGCCTTCTTCCTAAGGCTGAGAGAGAGACTGGCCCAAGGTCACTCAGCTGGTTTTGTGCCTAAAGCAGGATTCACACTCTTCTGGCTTCCAAGATGATTCTCCCCTTTCATCATGGCTAGTGAGAATTCTAGGAGCTGCGATCCTAACTCACGGAGGACACCAATTTGGGAGAAAGCTGCTATATAGAAAGCTGCTTAGGATATTTATATATGTTCTCACTTGCTTCCTATGAAACAGCAGTGACCACATTACCTAAGAATGGAAAATTGCTCTAATTAACACCCAAGTGAAACAGGAAATATTCCTAGACTGCTTGGGAGGGCAAAATTGTCCCTTTTAAGTCTACTTCTTTCCCTACTCTTGCTTTACTTTTTAATAAATCAGAACAGATACTAAAAAGTAACATTATAAAATAACAAAAAGGAAAAAAAATGATGCGATACTGTAATAATGAAACGTAGGGATCCCCATGCCTCTATAGATGTGGGTGTCTTTATAACCATATAGGAACGTTTTACTTAAAGGTGTATTTCTTTCTAATTCCAATTCTTTGACTATGTGACTGTGAGAATCCTTTTGTTTTTAAATTCCCACTTTGCCGGTTTTTACTTTGCATCATTCCAGGATGTGTAGTTTTCTGGGATTATTACTTGATTTCCCTTTGGGACAAGAGTTCCTTTTCTGCTTATTTGCATAGTATGCTGTTGATCTTCATGGTGTAGTTCAAGACAATTCAGGAATGCCATAATAATTATCCTTTCTAGCCAAGCCTTTCTAGAAGGTGATTGGGAAATCCGATTTCTTGAGGCCAGTTCTTAAGAATGAGCGTGTTACCTCTAGATTAAAGAAGCACAGTGTATATGCAAATGTGGCAGAGACCATAATAAGCACGGGGGGGGGGGTGTCCTAATTTTCTCCTTGAAGATGTACAGTAGATCCCATGGATAGATTCCTTCTAGCCTCAGTTTCTTCCTCCCCTCCAGGAGATGAGGAGAAGCAGCTAGACCATGCCGTCCTGTTGCAAGTGATAAAGGAACAGCAGGTTCAGCAAAAGCAACTCTTAGATCAGCAGGCAAAATTGTTAGCAGTGATTGAGGAACAACACAAAGAGATCCACCAGCAAAGGCAAGAGGACGGAGGCGAGGAAAAGCCAAAGCAAGGTAAACCCCACCCACACAAACCAATACCTAAGTATTGTAGAAAGTTGCTTGTGGAGCTGTTATAAAATCTGCTCAGAGAAATATCCCTTCTCCAGTGCCCTCTCCAAGCAATAGATTAAAAGCTCTCATTCTCCATGCATCCCAGCCCTTGTTTCAAAACTATAGGAAGACTATAAACTATAAAACAGAAGGTACCGCTTAAGATACATTCTTATACCTTATTTATAATTTCACAATTAATGCAATAATTTTGGTAGTCAGATGTAGTGGGGAGGGTACTGAGTGACTCTCCAAGGGCCTCTGAGTAAACTCTTTTGTTGGTGATAAAGAGTTTTCTAGCTTGCTAAATTGTGTACACAGTAACAGAGAGCTCTCCACTTCTCCTTTCCAATAGAAATCCAGCTGGAACATGGCCTCGCTTTGACCAAGAGTAAAGAGAGAGATCACCTTGACAACAAAATTGAAAATGCTCCCAAGAATATACCAAACGAAAACCTGGGTCATCCTTTGCATCTGCCTGAGAACCAGCCCCAAGATCCTGAGGAAATTAAAAGGCAGGAGGACGCTGGTCCAGCAGACTTGAAGCCTATACAAAACAAGTTAACTGAAATTCCTCCTAAAAATGTTATGGCTCAAATAAACGATGAGGAGAAAATCGTATACCACCAAGCTAATGCAAACCACAAAGAGAAGTTGGAGCCAGTCAGGAGTGATTCACAGATAGCTAGGCCTGATGGACCCCACCAGGAAAAGCAAGCCAAGTCTGAAGATTTGATAGGACAGAAGATTCAAGGGGCAGACAACGTTGAGAAGAGAAAAGAGGCTGTGAAAAGGGCTGAAAGCCAAAGGGAGATACCAGAGGTAGCCAACATCCATGGTGCGGAGGGAAAGATTCCTCGTAGATCTTCTGACAGGGAGTCCCTTGCCAAGGAGGTCAAAAAAGACTTCCATGATCCAGACATTCCACTCAAACCAAAGATTGCTGATAACATACCAGGGAAATTGGAGGTCCAGGAAACTGTGAAAGGTGGGGAAAGACAGATCTTACCTTTGGACCAGATTGACAGATTACAGGGTCAGGGGGCCAAGATTAAAGAGAAGACGGCCACTGAAGCCCATCATCCACAGCTGGGTAATGCCAATGATCAAAGGCATGATTCAGAGAGAGAGCAAAGAATCCCAGAGAGCTTGCAAGAAGCTGACAGTGACTATATCTTACAGGGAGACGTAATTAGGCCAGAGTCCAGGGATTATGAAAAGGCCAAACCCAACAGAGACCTCAAGCTACAAGCAGACCTGGACCTGCGCCGCAAAAGGCGAGATCTGGAAGAAGAGGTGGGAGGTGTAATATTTGGACTTAACCCCGTCCCAGATGTGAAAGTCAATGACCTCCGTGGTGCATTAGACACTAGGTTCAATCAGGCAGCAGAAGGGGCCCAGAAAGCCCTTCACAGCCGACAGATTAAACAGATACCAGTGGGTGAAGAGGAGGCGTGAAAGTCTCCACACTCTGAGGAAATGTAGGAATCTACCAGCTGCTTAAAGGTGTCTGTTACGTGGCTAACTGCCATTGGTGTTTAACCGTTGGCAACCCAGGTCAACTGGCTCCATCTGAACTGAGCTCCGGTGACTGAGCACTGTTGGCTCTGGGGGAAAAAGGAATTTCCATGCTGCCAGCCAATTTCATTCTTCAAAACGGTCTCTCCTCACGCTGCTGGTAGCTTGTGTGCAAAACCCAAGGTCATCTATTTTCTGGGTTCCAAAAACGCTTTACGCTCGCCATCTTTCCAAAGAAGCATGTACATTTTTAATTCCTTTTGTTTAATTTCTGTGTCTAGGATTAGTCTGTTGCCTTATCTGTTATTTTATCTTGTTGGAAAATCCCTTTTATCGAATATGTGGACATTGCCCTCCCTTAAATTAACGTTTGGATTTTTGTGTTCTGCCGTTTGCTAAATGGGTTGATTTGGCTTTTGGAAATGGTTTCAAGAAGATGAAAGTAGTTCTGTAAACATCTGAAAAGGGAGCATCTCTTCAAAGATAAATTCTTAATATGGACTTGATTGCTAACAAGTGCATTTTGACAGCGACTTACAAACTGCTCTGATCTTCTTCAACCAGGTCCAGTATTAGCAATAATAAAAGTAACCTTTTTTTTTCATTTTTGGTTATCAAAATATAGGTCTGTTTTTAAAAAACATACCTGTCTTAAGTGCATTATGAAACCATACTGTGCATAAAAGCTTTGCAAGATGCTTAAATGAAATCATTTCAAGAGGGCGCTGTCAGAGTAGGCCATCTACCTCTTTCCTCCATTTTATAAGTGCATATAGGGTAACTTAAAGCTTGTCCCCTATATCCCTTCCACTTTTTCAGGAGACACTCAAATGTGAAATGTTAGTCGTGTCCTAGAGTTGGCAAGCTTCGACATTTGAACACGATTTGTTCTAGGTGTCCTTAACAGTCCCAAGGATTGTGTTAACAAATGATACACCAAATTTAAGCTCTTAACATTTGATCGTCACTAATATCCAAGGATATTTGGAAGTTGGGCATAAACAGGTAATTATCGAAGTCAGTTATCAGTTTACATTCCTAGAACAAGAAGGGAGAATTAAAGTGGATGTTGCTTCTGGAGTGTAGCTTGGCCTGCAACATGAAACTGAGATTGGGGGACCCGGGGGGGGGGGTATGCCATTGTCGTATCTTTCCCGTCAAGCATATTTGCTGTATTTCCATTCAGGGAGACAGAGAAATGTGGCTGGTACCACTTGACTGTTGCAAGGGGCATTTTTCCTTGTTACAAACATTGTTACTCTAATAACTTTTCCTCAGGCATCTTATTGGTCCTGTCTGACCATCATATTAAACTGTGATTTTAGGTGATTGTAATAAACTAGAAAGGGCCTTCAGTTTACCTATAATCCCCTCCCAAGCCTTCTCCATCAAAGGCCACATGGTGTTTGCAAGCTTGAGCTTCTGTTTGGTCAATTAATTTCCAAAAGAAATTATGGTCTTTGTGTATCAAACTATGGTTAGCGCTGTCATGGCTCAATGGAAGTGATGGCTAAATGAGAACTAGAGATTGCAAATTCTTTGCAAGCCATATTTGAGAATGATATACGTGGTGGATTCATTATCATCGTGCTAAACCAGGAATAGCCAAGCTGTTTTAGTCATTGTGGACTACAAAACCCATAAACTCAATCAGCATGACCAATTATTACAGGTGTTATAGTCTAAAAAAGCTTGCAAGACATCAGTTCGTTTATTGCTGGGTTGAGAGCAAGGTTTCCTAACCCAAAATCCCCAGATGTTTTGCTATTCTCCAAATTGGCTGGGCATCTTGGAATTAAAGAGGCCGGAGAGGGGGAGTTGGTGTTGGTTGGGGAAAGACAGATTTAGTATGACATTCCACACAACCATTGAACAGAGCTGCCCAAAGCACAATTATAATAGTTTGTGGTTGGATCGCTGTTACTTCAGTATGTAAATATTTATTTTACTAATTTTTTTGTAAATATCAGCCAAATTGCTTTAATACAAAGGGTTATGAACGCCCTGTCATGGTTTCTCTGGCCACAGTGTGACTGTCTGCTATAATTGAAGGACCAAAGATACTTCTGGCATTCCTCCATAGAACGACTCAAGGTTTTGTTTTTTTTAAACAATCCCATCTCCAAGCAATTACAAAGAAAGACACAAGATGGAAGGCGGCAGCCCTGGATTTCATCTGGAATTCCTCACTTGCTGCCACAGCAAAATGTCCAATTTCCAGTGTTGTACAATGACCAGTCCCAGGGATGATAGCTAACCTGCACAAATCAATAATAAAATAAACCTGAAGCATTTTACCAGAGCCTCTTTTTTTTCTTATTGGAAATAGCTGGTTTACACACACAGGACACGAAGACTGCTCAGTTGGAGACAATTTACACACGAACTCCCTGTGTAGATTCGAACCCTCACCATCCTCCAGGCCTTCCGCAAAGCCCTTAAAACCTGGCTGTTCCGACAGGCCTGGGGCTAAAGAGCTTTTGCCCCCGTCTTGAATGGTATGACTGTTGTGTGTTTTTAAATTATGTATTGTTATGTATCGTTTATTTTTTTATTTTTTGTCTGTACCCCCCCCCCCCTTCCCTGATTTGATTTGTTAGCCGCCCTGAGTCCCCTTCGGGGGAAAAGGGCGGCATATAAATATAATAAATGAATGAATGAGGAAAAACCTATTGATCCCGATGCATTTTCTAGCTTTTACACTCAAGTTTGATTTTGGATCCATCAACAAAACCCACTATTAGCTTCAAGTAATATTATTAATCACCCTCATGAAAATGACGTTCCCAGCCAGAGTACAATCCAATTATTTTCTGAGACATGGTCATAATGAATTGACAGATTTGTAAAAGATACCGATATATGATATTTAATACCGTATTTATCTGAAAATAAGACAGGGTCTTATTTTCTTTTGAATCCCAAAATAAGCGATTGGCCTTATTTTCGGGGAGGGCTTATTTTAGCGCATGTGTTCAAAAGCCCAATTGGGCTTATTCTCTGGGGAGGTCTTATTTTCAGGGAAACAGTACTTTCATAAACTTTTTTCCCACATGGGCAGTGTTCCCCAACTTCCCCAGGAATTGACCAATGAACCAGCTTGTTGCCTGAGCCTGACATTATGGGACGCGAGTAACTGGCCAAAGATCAGCCAGCTGGTTTTCATGTCTAAGTTGGGACTAGAATTCAGAGTTTCTAGCTTTCTAGTCTAGGGCCTTAATCACTAGACCAAACTGCTTCCATTTAATATTTTCATAAACATTCATTCATACAAAGACAAACATTTGTGTTTTGTGACCAAAGTTGCATTCGAGAAATCCACCTAGTTGATATTTGTCTCTAGATCTGATCAGAGTCCGACAAATCACTTAGGAGTTTTAGAAACTCTGGAACCTTAACATGGAGGCCTAGTGTTCCTAGCCAACCAAGAGGTACAGTTCTGTCCCAATCTTCATGTTGTTACTAGTCAGATTTTGAGCTGTTCCGTGGAACCTTGGCACATATATGAAAACACATTTTGGTCCTTAGGCAATTTCACTGATTAGATTTTTTTCCCCAAAGCTTTAGTGAGGAAATTCATATTCCAAAGGGAAATCAAATATTCAAAGTTGCAAATATCAGGATTTTTTATATACCATAACTGGATATTTTTGGGTAAATGACCAATGACTGTTAGGCAGTTGGCCACGCTGGGCTTTCTTTGCCCCAGATCTTCAGGAGCCGGAATTAACAATATATATAAAGTAGCTTAAGCAAGATCTACAGGAGTATCTTATTTTATTCCTGTAAATAAGAAGGGAATTAGTAAATCCTCAGGGCAAAATTGGTACAAGTAGCTAATTTAACAGATATTCCGCTGATAGGAAAAGGCCGCTGGTATATTAATGTCATATTTTACCAAAGGGAACCTGACATATTTGCTATTAGAAACACTAACATTACAAAAATCTGAATTAAATGGTATTTATATATTTTCTGGCTTTATACTTCTCAGCATTGAACTTTGCCTCTTGCCACTCTGAAAAATTATACTGCTCATCCCATGTTTAAATTAAATCCCACACACACTGAGTTTTACATTTTAAAAAAGTTTCCCAGAATGTGCTTACAGTACACACATGGATAAATTGAAAAGCCATTAGCTCTTGGCACATTGGGAAATATTCCATTTCTGGACCTCAATATAACGACAGATGGAAAAGTTCTTTATTCTTCTGTGCTGAAAACAACTATAAATCCCAGATTTGCCATCAGTATCCATTTCAAGTCTTTACATTCTTTTTTGCCTGCAAAGAAAGATCAGTTTTGTTAGAAAGAATATTAAGAATTATGTAAATATATTCATATCAATATATCCTGTAGCATAAGGCCAATTAGATTTTGAAATGGATCAGTTGTCTGCTATCATTCTTATAACAATTAATTAATTGCAAAGCAAATATGGTATAGGTAGTCCTTGACTTACAACCATTCGTTTAATGACCGTTCTAAGTTATAATGGCATTGGAAAAAAGTGATTTCTGACCAATTTTCACACTTAGAATCATTGCAGTGCCCCCCTAGTCATGTGATCAAAATTAGAGCGCTTGGCAACTGGCATGTATTTATGACAGTTGCAGTGTCCCGCGGTCATGCAACCTTCCCAATTGGCTTCCAACAAGCAAAGTCAATGGGGGAAAATCAGATTCATTTAACAACTGCAGTGATTTATTTAACAATCATGGCAAAAAAAAATGTTGTCAAATGGGGAGCTACTTACTTAAAATCTCATGCTTAGCAATGGTGGTTATGGGTCACAGACTACCTGTATATCTAAATATTTAGATTCTCTTAACTTCCATATTAAAAGAGGTAAGCTTGTCCCAAAGAAAATCAGTTTTTTTTTATCATAGTAGTTTCTTTCAGAAGTTTCTTTGGCCAAACTAAGCCCATGATGGCAAATCTATGGGGCACGTGCCACAGGTGGCAAGCACAGCCCTCTCTGCGGGGACTGCAGCCGTTGTCCCAGCCCAGCTCCAGCACGCATGCGTGTGCGCCTCCCACTGGCTAGCTGGTCTTCAGATCTCTGCCGGGGGCACATGTGGAGGAAACGCGTGTACATGCACGGGGCAGGGTGCATGCACAGGGGGGGCACTTGCATTGCATTTTGGGGCCTCATGCAGCGCCGTGTCCTGTTTTGGCTTCCAGGTTGGTGCAGGAGGCATTCCAGGCCCAAATGGGGCGCAGGGCACCACACAAGGGTTCCCCGCACCCTGTTTTGGCCTGGAAAGCCTCCTGCACCAACCTGGAAGCCAAAAATAGGCAAGGGTATGTGTGGCTCATACATGGGGGAGCGTGGTGTGTCGCACATGCATGTGTGGAGGTGTACATGCATGGAGCGTTGCACATGCATTGCATTATGGGTGCGGGCTCGCTTTTGGCAAGTGACGGCAAAAAGGTCAGCCATCACTGAAGTAAGCTACAATGAAATGAACAAAATCCCACAACAGCACCAGCAAGTTTCAGATAAGTTCACATGATTCTGTTGTGTAATATGGTTTTCTAGCAGCAGAACTGATTAGCAGACCTCTTGCCAACCCTTGAATTTCAAATACAGGCTGTCCTCGAATTACAACCATTCACTTAATGACTGTTTGAAGTTACACCGGCACTGAAAAAAAGTGACTTGACTGTTTTTCACATTTACGACCGTTGTAACATCCCCATGGTCACATGATTAAAATCTCGATGCTTAGCAACTGACATGTATTTATGACGATCGCAGTCTCCCGGGGTGACCTTCTGACAAGCAAAGTCAATGGGGAGCCAGGTTCACCGCATAACTAAAACATCTGCTGTGATTCACTTAACAACTGTGGCAAGAAATGTCATTAAATGGGTCAATTATGGTCCTAATCCAAGGACTATGCATAAACAGATGCCTTCTTACAAGTATGAAGTTTTTGGAAAACACTGAAAGACACTACAGCCTAAAAGCTGTAATAATGCACAACAGACAAGAAAAAACAACTCAGTGGTAATCCTAAAAGAAAAGAAAAGTTCTAGAGCTGCTGATGTCATTTACTACTGAACTTCCTTTCAATTTGTAGGTGCTATAAATTCTTTGCAGCAAGACTGAACTTCTGTTTTAAAAGGGGGAAGGGGGGAATGGAGAGAACTTTAATGTCCTATGCCTGTAAACTAGGATTGCTTCCATGATTTCTTGATCAGCATTCTACATTTCCAGCTACCAAATATAGAAGAGGACAGCACATTTTTATTGTATATTTATATACCTCTGTATTTATAGCATGTTTTGTTCCTAACCAGATCCCAAATGAAAAGTTAACCCTGTGAAATGAAAAACAAAATGCAAACAACTCACAGCTTCTGTGAAGCAATCCATCAGCATTGCAAATTCCTTGGCACACACATCCTTTTTCAAGTTTCCATGTTCAGTAGTATTGGATGCAATACATTTGCCATAAACTGAGGCCTGCAAATATCAGCTCTAATTAGATGCAGACTGCAAGGGACATTAAAACTCTGGTAGACCCTAAGCAAGTTTTATCTTTTTAGGCCTTTACTGCAGTAATAATCCAGGTGCTTAAGAATACAAAGGTATAACCAGAGACCTATATTCTTCAGCAAGTTACAAGCAGTTAGTCAAGTAAGTAGATATGTAATAAATATTATCTCAATTTTAGGATATATGGAATTTTATTTTACTATTACTTTTCACATGTCCTGGTTTTGGGGTTTTTTTGTTTGTAGCTTAAAATATGTTCATAAACAACAAAGATTTAATAGTCCTTAGGCACTATGTTTATGAGATACCATGGACATAATAATGTACTATCTGGTCTGGGTATGTATTTGGTTTTTCCAATTTGTTCCACTTTGGCTTTTAAGTCACCTAGAGATTTCTAACCTCTGCCAAACTTTACTCAAAGGAATAGGATTAACTCATACTGTTCTGTCTTACAAGACAATTTAACCTGATAGGAGGAAACATTACCCAGCACAGCAAAGAGAAATGGTGCAGTGCTTTTCCTTTAAAAAAATGGAATACATACAAATACATGCCTGCGTGCAACAGTTCAGAAAGGGACAGGATCCTGAACAGACAGCAGTTACACCTTTCTCGCTCTGTGTCTTTCTTGCTGACATTTATTTACTTCCTTACTTTTGGGACTTATTATATGGCTGCCTCACATAATGACTTCAGGCAACTCACTATCCATAAAAACACTGTCAAAACAAAAGTACCCCTCCTTTCAGGTTCCCGAACAAACAACCTCCCAATTCAACCCCATCT